AAAATGGTTAAACTGTGCTATGGTTTACTAATTTGTCAAATCTTTAGTATTAGCGTAGAATATGCCTTTTAATTTTGATCTAAAGGTTTGAACCTTGAAGAATTTGGTAATATCGACACGATTATAATATTTTTGATTTTCTTAATACAAGCAATTTATTAAGTAAAGAATCATATAAAAAGACATTAAAACTAACTAAAGAGCTTAGTACCACACGTTTTAGTGGACAATTATTTTTAAAAAACCATACAGTTATGGTTTATGGTTAATTACGGCCACTTGTTCAAAGTACTAGAATGACAAAATTCGTTGGACTTAATATTTTATGTTTGCCAAGTGTGGATCATTTTCACTATAAAGGAATTGTAATAAATGAACAGATACTTAGTTAAGTCTACTTCCTATGATAATAGGAAAGAAATATGAAATGCAAATTTTAAAATGACATATTTATTGATCCTGAATGGAATTTCTTCAGTAACGGTATTTCTATAGTAGGGATGTTGAATCACAACACGAGTAAAATTACGGTAATTTATTGACTTGGAAAAATACAGAGGAAAAATAGCAATGTCCGTCTTGGCACGAGGGAGGGCTGTCTGAATAATTAGGCTGGGAAATATGTATGGAAAAATTGAGAGAGTGTTTATGTTTTATCTAGTCGTTAATATCATATAATTTAAATATTAGTTATTTATATTGACTCAATAATTAGGTAGTAAAACTAATGGTCTAGATAATTAAATTTGTGTACCGATGTAACAATATACTGATATTACAATAAAATATATCAGTCATATAATATTATTTTTGGTTTGCCCCTATAACAATGTATGAGGTTACAAATAAAGCAAACAATACGATCTTAGAAGATTGATGATTATTATTATATTACTAAAGCCATATTATGACGTCAATTGTCGATTAATGATAACTTGTAAGTGGTAATTCTGATATCATAGAATATATATATATTATTTTATATACCACGCTTGTATTTTTGTAAATACACAACCAGGACACTACATAGTTATTATCATAGATCGTTATTGTTATTTGTTTTCATCACGGTCTAAGATATAGTTATTATATTCTGTAATTCAATAATTCATTAATCCGTATATATACGAGGTGAGGTTAATAAATACCATGACATAATTTATTAAAAATTTTATTTAAAACTTACAAACTATTTAGATGGATCACCTTCAAAATAGTGTCATTTAGCTTCAATACAATACTCAAAACGGTCTTGCCACTTTTTGAAACACCTTTGAATTTCATCTATAGTTAAAGCCTTTAGCTCTCGTGTCGCGTTATGGATAGTTTTGTTAACGTCCTCGAATCTGTGGCCTTTGAAGGTAATTTTTAGTCTCGGAAACAAAAAAAAATCATAGGGAGCTAATTCAGGTGAATATGGTGGGTGAGGTATCACTGGTGTATTTTTAGATGCCAGAAATTCACGTATGGAAAGTGCTGAATGCGCTGGTGCATTGTCATGGTGCGAAAACGATGACTTTGATTTCCACGCTTATGGTTTTTTACGGCGTACTTTCTCTTTTAATCGTTCAAGTACTTGTTTATAGAACATTTGATTTACTGTTTAAACCGTAGGTACAAACTCATAATGGACTAAACCCGTAATGATTGATTTTATAAGACTAGAGTCATTAGAAACTGGATTTTTTATTTCCAAACACAATTCAATGCAATGTTCCATTTGCTCTTCGGTTAGCAATTTTTGCTCTAATTTTGCGGACACCTTTTTCATACACAATTCATCTGATAAAATTGAATGACAAGTATTAATTGATATGCTAACTTCATTGGCTACTTCTTTAACAGTTAATCTTGGATCATTTCTTATTTTGTTTCGAACAAGAGTAATGGTATCATTTGTTTTTGATGTTGATGGACGCCCAGGACAATGTTCATTTTCAATGGACATCCAACCTTCTTCAAAACATTTGAACCAGTCAAAAGTAACACAACGGCTCACTGAAACATCTCCAAAAGCCAATTTAATAAATTCAAAAGTTTCCGTAGCATTTTTACAATTTTAAAACAAAATTTAATACATTAGCGTTACTCCGTAATATTATCCATCGTAAAATCACGATTTTATACAAAACAACCAACTTTGAACACGTATTATCGATGACTGATTTGAAATCATTATTATTACTATATATTTAAATATTGATTATTATCTCTAGTTTATTTTGGTATAACAATATTGCCGATAACTTAAAATATTTATCTGTAATAATTTTAGTCTGAATATTTATTGAACACACCTCGTATGTATACATAATTTCCATGTATTCATTATGATAACATGTTTAACGATTACAAAACTTGAGCAATGGTAAAAGTGACATTTCAAGTTTAAGAACAAGTAACCATCGGGAAATAAAATGTAAAAGATTGTATGATAAGGCAATAGTGAAGAACATGTCCTTGATCAAAAATTTGAACATTTCCAAATTAACAATTATTTATTGATTTTAGACCGGATTAAATCGGATTTAGAAAAGAGGAAAATTGAATATGGAAATTTTACTTCTAATTTTTTTTATCACCTATTGGAGTTAACAACTGCTGAAGTTCGAAAAAAGTCTGGTTCATTGCAAAATGTATATAAAAATGAACAATGACTATTATTTTCTATAGAATGTTTATTTTCAAAGCCACGTGAAAAGTTTAAATAAACAAACTTATGTTTTTTCAAACACAATTTTAGAAATGAGTGTTGATGTAAGAAATAATAGCCTTGTAGAAGTCTATCCATAAAATGACATTGCATTAAGAATGATAATATGTAGGTACTTCAGCTATAAATTGTTCAGCTCAACGGCCTTTCATTGGCTATTATTAAAATAGAATCGGATATTACAAAGAAACTGGACAACAATGATATAATTGAAAAGTTTTGCTAATAAACAATTGAGAAAAAAATTATAAAATGACGTGTTGTATTGATGTTTATTATTCTTATCGCTTAATAAGTTGTTATAAATTAAAATAATAATTAAAAAGAATGTAAAATCATTATCTGGGTATTAAAAATAAGACGTCCTAGGATAATAGGGACAGGCGCAGCCACTGTTATAGGTAATTTAGATTTACATATGTTAGTTACGTTAGCATTGCTAACGAAAACACGATTCAATGAGAAGTTCAGTTGATAGTGATGCTTTGATAACAATATATATATTTTATAGAAAAATAATTAAATAGGCATGATAAATTATCTCTAATAATATTTGTGTAATATACCGATTTTCCTCTGGATTTTCCCGTTTTTTCTACGCATTTCCGTGTTTCCCATGATTTTCTTGGTTCTTCACATTTGCCGGGAACACTCTTGAGAAAATCGAAAAATTACACGTGAGTCATTTACGTTAGTCAATCTTCAACTACGGTGGGGACGCGACGCGGCGTTCCGTGGCGACGGTGACGGAGTCCGCTGTTGTCATAGTTGTATATGACGGCGGTTGGTTTTCCCAGTTCTGCTCCGTTCACATTTCTAATGTACCGTTCCGTATCGCTCTGTTGGTCATATTGCACTCTGAACAAATTTCTTCAACAGTACCTAGTCTTTTTTTTTTGAGTTACAATTTTTTGTTTTTTTTTACGATCGGTACTCAGGAATTACAATTGTCAGAAGAAATTTCGGAAATTCGTAAATTAATTAATTAGCCTTGTACCTATTATGGCACGGTTCTAGATCCTGGAATGGTCGCCATACTGTAAGGTTCGATTTGCAGACCTTGTGTTCCAATCAAAAATATTAGTTTTTATATTAAAATAGTTGGTTGTGATTTTAACCATATTTAAAATGTAAAGATGGTTTAGGTGGCCAACCCCTCTACATAGTAGGAAGGATTTCGAAATAAACAGAAAATAATGATTACAATAAATTGGTCTTTTGGTTTAGTATTGTAATAAATTAAGAAAATAAAATAGACAGAGAAAAAATATGATTTTCTGCAATTGACAAGATAATTATTATAATTAATGACCAAAGGTCAAACGAACATTATAAACATTTTATTGATATGATAAAACAAATTGTGTGCAAGTGGTCCGAACGAGTGACAACTAGATCACCCTCGATTCACAGATTCACAGAAGTACAAGATATGAACCTAATCAATCAAAAAATATAACAAATATGTATATACAGATAATTGAGAAGTCATTTTGGTAGACAGAAAAAGATATATTTGTTTGTCGTTACCTTCATGAGTGTATTCACAGATACACATCTATTGTTTATTTATCATTTATACTTTGTGAGGAGTAATATGTATATATTGTGGCAATATATGAACAAGCCCCCGAGGATTGTAAAGAGGGGATTACACAGACTGTGACGGTCAGTACTAAAAGAATCATAGAAAAATGAAATCCATGTAATTAATTATTTTTATACGTATAGTAATTACTGAAGTGGGCTTACAAGATGCAAATAACAGTCGACGAGAATATTTGAACTTGCCATGTTGATATTGCTGCGAATATCATTATGTTAGATGCACGCTGGTGGTGGTTATACGCTGTTGTTAAGTGGTGCATCGTTAGACTATAGACCGGCAAAAATTGTATAGGACCTGTTCGCGAACACGCCACGGCAGTTAGGCAGTTCGCGGGCTGCATTTCAATTTTAAATTGCAGAAGTTTAAAACGGGACGTTACAAAGTAATTAATATCGCAATATAATTATAACTATAAATTAGAGTACGAATATAATACATATAATTTAAATCGTTTACTACATATAATTATACCATAATATTCACGTACCTAAAATCAATAATATTATTTTTTAATTTTTCATTAGAATTCATTGTGTTGGTCACACTGTCTAATTGGGACGTTCGAACAGCTGCAAAGTATTTCGTGTGTGTAAGATTTTCAGTATATTTTTTTGCAATTCATCTCGTTTACATTTGAATACGTTTCATTCAATACTAAACTATTTATAATACAATAAAATGGATAAAATAACGTAAGTATACTGTTTATTTATAATAATGTGTAGAGAGATAAAATTAATGTAGCTATTAGTTTATATTTGATAATTATTATGAAATATTCATTATTATCAGTTTATATTTCAGGAAATTATGTGACTCTACGACATCTAGATCCAACGAAAAAAATATTAATTACAATTCCATTAATGAGGTCAATGAAATATTAGCGGAAAGGTTACAATATATTCAGCTTGATCGAGAAAACAATATTAATGAAGAATTAGCCAATAAGTATAACGAAGATGGCAATTTGTATTTTATGAGCTGTAAATATGAACAAGCTATAATATGTTTTCAAGAAGGCTTGAGTTTGGATTTTCAAAATAATCAACTACGTGCTAACATGTGGAACAATTTGTCTGCTGTACACTATTTTTTAAAAAACTATAGGTATATTGATAAAATTATAACCCAAGTCATAAATAAATATAATATTTAATTTTTACATTTTTGAACTAGATCAAGTTTGGTAACGGCTGAAGAAGTACTTAAATTAATGCCAGGTTATGAAATAGCATTCATAAGAGGTATCAACTGTTGCATTCACATGAAAGATTTTAATAAATCATTATTTTATTGTCATATTTATTTGGGAAATTTACCGGAGTATAAGGTATGACAAATTGTTTATTATAATTGTATATTATGAGATAGTAATTTCGTTTAATTTTGCATAATTAGAAAATTGAGATGGAAAAATCTTTAGTTATGAACATAGAGGAGCAAAGAGTACTGAAAGAAATTAATAAAAGAGAATTGTATGTAGTCGGCCAAAAAGGTAATTTTATATTATAATAATTTTAATTATTTATTTTTACGTAAAAAATGTACATGTGTATGACTCAGGTGGTGATATAATTGGAGACATAAAAATTTTAAATACTGATGACCCTGACGTGATCCCACGAGTACATTTAACAGAAAATCAACGACTGGTATGGTCAGTTCTTTTTTTGTGTCCGGAGCAGAATGCATCTATTGTCGTAACAGATTTTCATGAAGATGCTACGTTAGTGTATAATTATTTGCTTCTGAACACTTCTCAAATTTTTTTTTTCAATTATTTTAATATTATAATATTAATTGTGTAACTAAATTTTTTTTTTAGGTTCTATAAGATGTTAGGAGACATATTTTCTGAAAGAGCACCATGGGATGCCGAAGGTATTTACACAGCAGACACAATAAATATTTATAGCGAAATTCCAGTCAACACTACAACCAGAGTTCTACAAAGAGTGCACCCAGAATACACATTATCAAATGTATTGACATTGTTCAGGTAAACATATTGTTTCTTATATTTTACATATTTTTCGTTCATGTTCTCCATTCTCCTATCATTAAGCAGCAATTTCTGTTACACTTTAATGTTTTGTTGTCGCAAACAAATAAGCATTTATATAGACATAAAGTTTTACTTTTCCAGACTTACTAATTCCCAAGTTTCATTCGTTAGATTTAAAATAAATATAGTTTTAATTTTATTGTTTTTAGGTGTCCAATTCAATATGGTTTACCAACGTTTATGATTGCTATTTATGGAGGAAACTATGACAACGAATATTTTGAAGATTATGATAAGTATGTTATTTAAGTGATTTTTCAAAATTTACAAAATACAATTATTTCGTAACTTAATTTAAAAAAATACATTTGATATGTATTTATTCAGTAAAATATCAAAACCGTTTTATAATACATATGTATAATTAAATATTTTTTCAGGTAAGCATATTGCAGTGTGTATCTGAGCTAAGTTAGATTTGACGTGAAATCAATATTGACAAATTGAAAATAAACATTAAATATTAGTATGAATGTATAAGACACACCTAGAAATCATTGTTTTAGTTAATCAGAAAATTGTATTTTTTGTAAATTTATTTTCAGAAACATGTTTAAAATTTAAAGAGTAATAAACTTAACAATGAAAATATTAAATTTCTATTCACCCGGGTTATTATATTTATGAATTGGGTGGTATTGATNTATTATTCTTATTTTGTTTTTTAATATAAAAGTGTATTTTGTTAATGGTTTTTAAGATATAACCATTCATTATAGCTATTTTTTTTTAATGTGTTTAATTCTTGAATGTAGTTATTATTGTATAAAGAGATATTCTCTAGTCTATGCAGTATTTATCTAAAATATGCTAATTTTTGTAAATAAGGATGATTAGATTCATTAGATATTATAGCATAAGTTTGTGTAGGTTTTATATTATTATTAAATCCAAATTTATTATTGATTATTTTAATATTATGGTCTAAAAATTATATTTGATTATGGGTTTGTAATTCAATTGTAAATTGTATGTTTTATTCATTTTGTTTAATTTATTTAACTTATTTTGTACCTGTCTATTTGTGCCTTTAATTATTAGTAAACTATTATCTACATACCTATTAGTATTGTTTAATATTGGGATTTTTAATCATGTGCTTGTAAGTATATTTCTGACATAAGTACACTTAAATTAATGTCCATTAAACCTTTAGTTTATGAATATATTGTATTATTATAAAATATAATTATATGGTTTCATTTATTGCAATAGATTTTATTTAGTTTATAGTAGTTAAATTTTCTTTTACATTGTTTCTTGCTTTTAATTTAGTTATAGAAGTGTAAAGTTTTCTATTATCTCATGAAATCATTTTACAACCTTTTGGAATGTTGAATTTTTAACGTTATCAACCAAATAATATGTATTTTTGGTAGAATGTGTGTTGTTCATATTTCATTTAGTTTTTACATATTTATCTAAATATTTTTCAAGTTCCAAAGGGGAATATTTGTAGTTTGAAGGAAGGTTTTAAAATTTACTTATTATTTTATTAGATTATCATTTTTGTTCAATTCAACAAAGCGGTGTAGTTATAGAGGTCGTATGCTGCTATAATTTTTTGTCTTTAGTTTTTAACATTTCCGTAGAAAGTTTAATAGTATTACTTATCAATTTTCGATAATTTTTAATTGTATCAATGTTCATTATTTTTTCATATGAATTCATTTTTTCAATTCAGTATTTTTAATAACTACTTTTTTGTTAATAATTAGCATTGCATTATATTATTAACTGTACAATTTCGCCTTTTTTTTTAATTCTTTCGGTTATAGAATAAATATTTATATTTAGAATAATGGTTTTATTGTTGTATTTGTTGAGTAAAATTAATTATGTTGTGTTTTGTTATTCTTATACTACTTCTGTTGAAATATATTTATTGCTCTCATTGTTGAATTAATTTCTTTCAGTGCATATTACTGTGGTTATTTGATAGTTAATATTTTTTTTCGCATATTGTTTGGATTAAGACTGATTTTTTTTTCTGAGTCATAGTTTAGAATTTTTTTTTATTTATTTTCTTTATTTTAACTAAATATCTGTTGGCCCAAAGTTTTTATAGTAGTTACTATTTACAAATAGTATGTGTTCAATAGAAGTGTCCCTTATCTTCGTAACCAAATTACAACAAAGATGAAGGATGGGGTTTGGTAAATCGGTATATAATAATTATATGACTTTGGAACTCTGGACTTTTTTATTTTACTTATAACTTCTTTGAAATTTTACGATTTTTTTTTTATGCTTTCTTTGTATTTGTCTAATCATTTACCATATATTCCTATTATCATATAAATAAAAACATTTTTCATTGATTATTAAAATTGTAAGATGCATATTATATATCGTCCATAGCAGTGAAAAAAATTTCTGCAATTATTGTTTTTCGTTTATTTGTGTTGCATTTGTCAGAAATTCAATTTTTAAATACTTCTATAAATTTTTATTTTGCTGTTAATATATTGTAAATTTGTTTTTTTCGTTTGGAAATTATCTTATTTTGTTAATTTAGATTTTTAATATTATTGTGATGACCACAAAAATAAGTTAAATTTCATTGAAGGATATTTTTTGATCTGAATCTTGAAACTCTTATTACAATATACTTTTTATATAATATTTTTCTAGGTGTTTATAGCAATTTAATAAACGAATATTTAATATTATATGGGTTATTTTGTACAACAAAATGGATGATTCAATGTACACATTTAAACCTTTTCAATTTACAATGATAAAAAAAATAATTTTATAACTTGGCGATTAGGTAACATTATTAGTACCGATGCCTATTTGATCTCGTACAGTAATTTTTATGTTCAACAAAATGTAAGAAAACTTTTTCATATTTAAGTAGAAATAATTTAGAACACTTAGCTTTGAAACTTAATTTGAGGAAATTATTTTTACTGAACACTACTTTAATGTACTTCTTTTTTTTCAATAACTGTATTAAATATTTTGTTGACTTGATTTTTTAAGTCTATATGCTTTAGATGTATTGTTTCGATTCGAGTGAATGGATGACAATAACATGCCGAAATATTCCATATGGATTAAAATAAAAAACATGTTTACTGTCAGGTAATATTATTATTATATATGGCAATTCATTTACTAGTGTTCCTTTTGATACAAGTAAAAACTACATTTACTTGGGTAAGCTTTGACAAAAATGTTATTTATAATGCTTCCAGGGAATTTAGCTAATGAGTATGATAATGGTGAAATAAAATTTAAAGAGATTCAAGTATATGGTGATATTCCAAGGCACTACAACCATATTTTTGTGATGGATGATAAAGATATTTTTTCGATTGGTGGTGGACTGGACAACCATTTGGATGTTCACCTACTCGATCTAAATACTACTAAATGGGAAAAGTAGTATGAAGCAAGGGAGAATGATCAGACACATAATTATAAAACTGATGGAAAAGTAGTACTCTATAATGGTAGAATATACTTATTTAATTGTCTCATTAATCAATTTTATGTTAGTCAACATGATGTTTCTTACTACCTATTTTCAGTAAGTATAAAATATCATATTTTGAATGTATATTTTAATTCCATATCTACGAAATGCATACATTTGTTTCTCATGCATTAAATTAAAATTTGAATAATCTTTTCTTCAATAGTAATGTGTTGATATTAAGTTACAAATATTTTCTTTCCTGTATAAATATATTTATAGTATATGATATATTATAAATCATTTTTACTAAAATACTTACTAATTGAAGATTTAAACTTGTTTAATAATATTTCATACATTTTAGTTAATGAATATGTCGCGGATGTATTTTTAAAAATAAACTAAGATTTACATCGAATGAGTAAACACAATATTTTATAAGTATTTTTATTGAAGTTGGAAAATATTCAAACATATTCAATTCAAATTTACAAGTACCCGCCCCCCAAGAATGTATCTTTGATATCGAACAACTATCGCCTGTTTAATTTAACCCGATTATTGAATTATATACTTTATTATAAACCTTAAATATAGCTGTATACAGTGTCCATTAAATCCTAATCTGGTGTATATATGTGGCGGTTCCAATCATTATCAAATCTCTAACCAGGTTTGGCGGATCAATTTAAATACCTTCCAGTGGGAAAATCTTACTATGTGTACTTTGCCTCGACCTGTATTCTGCCATTCAACCATTGTAACACCTTCTGACCGCATGTGCTGTTATGGCAGTTATGTAGAATATGATCCTGTAAATTTGAATGTTCAATGTTCAAATAATATAGCTACTGTATGGATCACAATACCCAAATTAAAAATCATCAGTTGGGAAGCCATAGTTCATTATTTTAAAAAAGAAATGTTTGAATCAAGCATTGAAAATCTTAAAAAAATTGGTATACCTCCTGAATTTTATAACAGAATAATTGAAGCTAGGTGAGTCAAAACTTACACAAACATTAAGGCTCAGCTAAACTGAAATTAAATAAAATTTAAGATATTTCGATAGAATGTAAATACATGCTATTATTATTAATTTAATGTATTATTTTCCGAAATTGTTACTGTAAACCTGATTAGTTTTTTTTATAACCTTTTGGTTTTAACAAAATTTGTATGATATGTACTAATATTTATTATTTAGGAAGAGTTATTATAATCAGAGCATACCAAATGAAAATTCATAAATAGATCTTAATAATGTTTAAAAAAATTATTAAATTTATGTATACATTAAACATAACATAATATGGGCCAATAATTAATTCGAAAGCTAAGTCAAAATGGACTTAAATTCTTTAACTGCTATTCCGTTTTCAATACTAGAATTATTGATAAACACTTTATTTACATAACCAGTTAGAAATATTAGGATATTTTTATCAATAATTCCCAAATCAATTGACCACAGGTGTTTAATTCTATTTTAAATACTTTTGTTGGCCACATTATGTATTATAACCTCTTATTAATCTATATAAATATTTGCCAAAACGTTATTTGTAAGTACAATACATTCAAATTCCGCACTAGGAGAGACGGTCACAATTTGATCTTTTATTTTTTAACATAATTTACATTGTAAAATACTATTAATATTTTTATTTTTTTCGATAAGTCAAGATTTTACTATTGGTAAATTAAGCAGAGACCCGTTTTGATTGTAATTCACAAGGTGATTTCTTTCAAGCTTGTTTAATTTATTTTGAACTCAATTCCAAATTTTTTAAATCATGTGTCATGTGTGCTTCCTTTGATCATTCACAAAGCCTCGATAACTGTTTATACAAATTTAAGTCTAATAATAATATAATTTAACTATAGTGAAAACGTGCTATAAATGTATGTAATTATATTATGTTTAATATTTTAGGTTCCATCGAATACTTGATAAATTGAAACGAAAAATTTGGGTCTAGTACATTAAAATATGTCTGGTATTTACAGATGTAATCCTAAGTTGTAAAAATGTCATAAACACAGACAATTTATGTAACGTGTACAATTATTTTTTGTTTTAATGACAATATCAATCAAGTATTCGATTAAGAATATAAATATTGAGATTATACATAATGGATATAATTTTTAATTTGATTAAAATCAATAAATTTTAGTAACCTAAAAAAAATTCCTGTTCTTATGGCAATAACACTTAACGTTGCAATTTCGATATAAATGTAATTTGGAGGAGAGTACGGACTGCAAAGTCTTCCGTCACCTGTTCACCACTTTGTGACCAATCCATTATGTGTTAGTCCGGGATTGGATGGAAATGTTAATTTATCACGAAATCCCTTATCACAATTCCGAAACGTTAATTTACACTTTTTCGTACATTTATGGTTATTTAATACGTATCTTACGCCTTGATAGCATATTTTATTTTTGAGAACCACTGGGCTAATTTATTGCTACCGGAATATACGTCTACTCATAATATTTTAAATATTTATTTGTGTAAGATACAACTATTGCTAATAGCCAGATAATTTGATGATGTATTAGCTTGTGGCTGTGTAAGAAATGAAAAAGGTTAGATTTAGTTATAAGACGACTGGTTTGGTAACACTGTCTGGTATGAACTACAGGCAATGCCAAACACGGTTAGACTGATATCCTCCACACCATCCGTCTTCGAAACCGCTGCACGTTTGTTGCCGCATCGCCCAAGCCGATTATTATTATTATTTGTTCGTGTGAGATAACAACTACCTCACACCAACTGTCAATCGCTGTAAAATACGTTCTTTCTATTTCGTTAACGACTAGGATGACCGTTCACACAATTCACGATAGTCAAAGTCGAGAACAAACGCCTCTCCATCTTTATATGAAACTTAGTGCGTATTATTTGGTATTAATTTTTTCATTCGGCGTCTTTTAGGCAAACCTCAGCCATTGTCCGAACCACCTGATCGTGCCGCGTATCTCATCGAATCTACGCACAACCACGCGGTTCAGGAATCATTTTGTGCTCGTCGTGTAGCGATCGTCTGTGTTTTATCCACACGTCACATGCATTTGCTAAACGTCGTTGGCCGTTCAGTCCAGCACATGTGCCATACCTACCGAAATCATCCGAATTTCCGGTACCGCTGTTGATGACAATTGCTCCAGTTCTCCACCAGANATCAATTGACAAATCAATTGATTTGATTCAAATCTCCAACATGTTAGATCGGTCATCCACTCCCCTGTCACTATCTATGGTCATCGAATTTCAGGTAACGTAACTATAATTTGTATTGCCTCATCTTGTATTAAATCAATATATTTATTTTAAAGTTAAAATCGTTCCGGCCACAATCAAACATAGTAATATCGTAGTATTTCATATGTAAAATTGTCCGACTGTGTCGACATATTTTAATCTAAACTCTTCCTCTGACCGGAATACTGTATACGGGTATATATCCATATTGTTACATGAATATAACTTTCTAAAAATAATGTTTGATTGTTAACGATATTATATTTTATGTTTAGATAAAAATATAGAATTGTATGATTGGCGGGCAA